TCAACACAGATCCTAGTGAGAACAAAGCTACTTATACGTACTAACGATGAAGGAATTTAGAAAACCTTTTCCAAAAGAGAATGTTTGGCCATGTTGTTTTTTTAGCGTAAGTTGCTCTGAGTCATTGACTATGATTGAGCCAATCTCCGTCACGTGATAGCATGCACTGCGTTTCTGTGTTCTACGTAGCTTTGTAAATGATAGCATTGATGATGTCCATGAATGTCACGTGACCACTCTTAGTCAATGTAGTGGTTGATTGTGTGACGATGCAGTTAGACAGTGTTGATGTCTAGCATAGTTGACATACAGTGAAGTCTGTATTCTACATTGCTGTTTATCTCATAGTGGATATGTGGGAGAATCTCGGACAAAATGTCTTTTTCTACACGTCATGTAAGAAGGAAATGATTTCCTAACGTGATCCGCTGCAAATGTGGTAGCTGTGTCTGTGGCTGGATGCCCGATATGTAGCTGGAACTGCCAGATATAATACCGCACAGAGCTGCTGAAATTGGGTGTTGGCAAATCAGTGTCCCTGTAACCGGCCTGGGGCCATACCATCCTTCAGGAGCTGACTCTGTATCTCAACACTGTGTATTCTATTGGTAAAAGTTTCCATTCTGAACTCAATGCCACTGGGTTGTTATGTCTAGTGTTATGTGTAATGACGTCACGACGATTGAAGGGAAAACTCTGTACAAGTACAAAGTACAGTCTGTAGTCTTAAGTACAACTTCTAACGTTATGCTGTATTTGTTTACTAGGACAAACCTTTTTACGTTATGCTGTATTTGTTTACTAGGACAAACCTTTTTACGTTATGCTGTATTTGTTTACTAGGACAAACCTTTTTACGTTATGCTGTATTTGTTTACTAGGACAAACCTTTTTACGTTATGCTGTATTTGTTTACTAGGACAAACCTTTTTACGTTATGCTGTATTTGTTTACTAGGACAAACCTCTTTACGTTATGCTGTATTTGTTTACTAGGACAAACCTTTTTACGTTATGCTGTATTTGTTTACTAGGACAAACCTTTTTACGTTATGCTGTATTTGTTTACTAGGACAAACCTGTTTACGTTATGCTGTATTTGTTTACTAGGACAAACCTTTTTACGTTTTGCTGTATTTGTTTACTAGGACAAACCTTTTAACGTTATGCTGTATTTGTTTACTAGGACAAACCTTTTTACGTTATGCTGTATTTGTTTACTAGGACAAACCTTTTTACGTTCCTAAAGGACAAGCAGCAGCTTTCAGCTTGTTTATCAATAAAGTAATTACACATCCACCAAACGCGCTCTCCACCAAAAGCCTTGGATTCGTGTTGCTGGTGTGTGAGGTTGGCCAGAGAGCGTGTTTGGTGGAGGTGGAAGTACTTTAGTCCTTTTTACTGGCAAAAAACAAACTCCAGGTTGATTTTCACGCACATTCACATGCCAGAGGAAAAGACAGCAACAACAACAGCAACAGCCCTCCAAGTCCAAGGTTCCAACACACCATTGCATGCTTACACATACAGTAGATCTGCTCACGCACGAACACCCGAATGTACAGTCTGTTGCTGAGTACTACACCAAACCACACACAAGACGTACCACACCCAAGACCACACTCAAGCAACTCACTACGAGTACAGTGTCTGCATTGTCATTGTCAAGTTGCTCAGAGCCGCCATGTCATTATGGTGACATGTTTTTAGCAACAACCAGTTATAAAATAGAATTTTACGACAACCAAATTGACAACACCAACACCACCCTGGTCTGTATGGGACTGTGCCCTAAGACATGATGTCATCAGCTCTTTGTCCATATTTGATGAGAAGAGCGTAGCATTGAATCGTGATTGGTTCCAGGTAGTGTTGTTATGTGGTAATGGGGTAGGTCCCCCATTATGTGTGTAGTCTACATGTGTGAATGTGATTCTTGTCACCAATGACTAGGTAAACAACGCATTTTTATGGTCTCGGTCTGTGCAGAGCGCGACGACATCGTGCAGACGTGTAGCATATCACGTGACAACACTCTGACACACGCACACACGCAATGCTGCGAACAAAAGATGCCTGAGTTGGCGCTAAGGCACACAGCCACAAAGCTAAAGCATTATCAGTAATGTATGAGTAGATGGCCGTCCGTGGTCTGCCAGACAGTGAGCATCTCCTGTCATTTACCACATGCATGTGATGCACGATTCGTTCAAACATTAGATCACATCGCTATTTGGTCAGCACCGCTCAGTCATCCATTTCTCAAGGCACAGTCCAGTTGTCCGTTTTCGTCTCCCTTCCTTTCTCTTTTGTTTCAAACGTCTTCTAGTGTTGTTGAACAGTCCCTCTGACCTACCTTTGTTATTCGTGCATTATCCTTTCCAGTCATTGTTACTCTTTCTCTGAACTACTAATCAGTCTGTAGTGGCTACAACGCTCTCTCAGTGAGTAACAAGTAAGTTCAGCATAGCGCTCTCTCAGTGAATTACAAGTTCAGCATA